TTGCGCGTCGTGTTCCAGACCAATTCAAGTTGTGTTGAATGCAACACTGGATATTTCCTTCATAATAAAACATGCATTGATTGCAGAGACAATGAAATGAACTGTTCAAAATGTTCGACAACTGATGAAAAATGTACTGAATGCACTGATGGTTTTTTCCCACGAAATGGTCGGTGTATATCATGCAATGAGATTGGTTGCCAGACAACTTCGGAGTATTGCAACTCTTCTTCTGGGTATTGTACAGGGTGCCTCAACGGGTTTTATCCACTGATTGGCTTATGCAAACCATGCGACTTTAATGAAGGTTGTGCTCTGTGTGATGTATATAGTAATAAGTGTGAGGTTTGCAAGTCCAAATATTTTAAGAATTCGTCCGCACTTTGCCAACTATGTTCATCAAATTTCTGTGATGAATGTGACAAACAAACGGGAGTCTGTCTGAGCTGTATCGAAGGATATTATTTGGAGTATGGGAAGTGTTATTGGTGTTATATTAAAGAGCATTGTGTGGAGTGTTCACGTACGTCTAATATGTGCGTTGGTTGTGAGACTGGATATTATCCTTATTTAGGAAAATGTGAGACGTGTTCAACCAAATTCTGTTTAAATTGTGACAAACAACGTGGAGTATGTAGTGAGTGTTATAAAGGGTATTACCTATCCAATGGCGAGTGCATTTCTTGTTCGACTAAAATCGACAATTGTTTTCAATGTTCCAACAATGAAACGTGTTTGGAATGTCAACCTACAAATTATTATTTGAAAGATAACAAATGTCTTCAGTGCTCCAATAAGAACAACTGCTTTCTATGTGACGCAAAAAGTGACAATTGTTTAATTTGTGATTATGGTTCATTTCCCACAGCACTTGGGTGTACTTTGTGTACTGAAAAACAATGTGAAAAATGCTCTCAATTCAATGGAAACTGCACTTCTTGTCTATCTGGGTATTACCTCACATCAACAAATTCCTGTGAAAAATGCGCAGACAATTGCATAACTTGTGAAGGGTTATCTCAATGCAAACAGTGTGTAAACTCGACATTTTACTTGTCAGATGGCATTTGTGAGAAGTGCACAAATAAAGCTGAGTGCATTAAATGCTCTTCACAGTCGAATATATGTGAAGAATGTAAATCTGGCTTTTACCCATCAGGTTTAGACTGTTTACCTTGTTCCACTAAAATTTGTTACGACTGTCACCCCATCAGTGGAAAATGTTATTCGCCATATTTAGGGTACTTTTTAAAAAATGGTGAGTGTCTTAAATGTAGTGAGTATATAGAGGGATGCAGCTTGTGCGTTTCAGAATTATTTTGTACAGAATGTTCAAGTGGTTATTTCTTACATGAGAACAAATGTAGTCCATGTGAATTGATTGATCATTGCATTGATTGTGATAGAAATGGGACGTATTGTCTCACATGCGAAGAAAACTACTTCCCTTCTCGTCGTACATGTGAGTTGTGTTCATCAATTAATTGTCAAAAGTGTGATTCATCCACTGGAGTATGTAGTTTGTGTTACAGTGGGTATACCCTTCGCAATGGTTCATGTGTTGAATGTGCTGTAAGTCATTGTAACAAATGTGATTCAGACTTGAATGTATGTGACGAATGTATGCCAAACTTCATGCCGAATAAGAACAGAGTGTGTGAGTATTGTGAAAATGGAAACACGATGAATTGTGCTCGATTTCTTTGTTCACAAACAGCCACATTTCGGTGTGATGAATGTAAGAGTGGATACTACCTTTCTGATAGCATATGTTTGCCTTGTTCACCGAACTGGTGTGATGTGTGTGACGGGACCACTGGGAGATGTGTGAGGTGTCAGACAAATTACTATATAAGTGATGGTATGTGTTTGCCATGCAATGAATCAAATTCACTTCATTGCCAATGTAATATGTGCTCGCAAACAGAAGATGAGTTTTGTTATGAGTGTCAAGACGGCTTTTATTTATCGAATGGTAAATGTTTGCAATGCTCAGAAACAACCAACAATTGTTCCTATAAGAGCTGTGATAAATTTACAGGAATGTGCACCAATTGTAACACGAATTACTTTCTTTCTAATGGAAAGTGCGTTTTGTGTGACTCCAATAACCCAATGAATTGTGAAGAAAATCACTGTACTTTGTACGCACAATGTTCCTCTTGTAAAAACGGGTTTTACTTGAAAAGTGGTAAATGTGAACAGTGCACTAAAACCAATCCAGGCCATTGTGCTCCACAAAAGTGCTACTCTAATGCCGAAAACAAATGTTATGACTGTGACGACAATTATATCCTTGGTGATGACAATAAGTGCTATTTGTCAAGTGAAATATTACCAAATTGTGAAAAAGGAATTACAAGGACAAAGTGTATACAGTGTTACAAAGGATTTGTTTTGAATCAAAACCATTGCACCCAACTCAGCTGTGACTATAATGAGAAGAACACCAGTGATACTGTTTGTGCAGGAAATTGTAAGAGTGCTATATCATCAACCATTTCTTGCCAAAGTTATGTTACTTGTCCAAAAATCAAGTTAAGCCAGACAGACAGTTTGTGCTTGCTCTGTGATATCAACCAAAACCTGACATCCAATTTCCAATGTGAAAATTACACCAAAGAAAATTGTGTTGTTTCGTACCAAGATAACTGCTTGGAAACAACAAAAGGGTACTTTATCTCAAGAAATGGTGTCAATAAATGCACAAATGCGATTTGCGGATTCGACACGATGAACAGTAGAGAAGAGAGTTACGAGTGTTCGCAAAACCACGAACTGAGTTATTCCAACACACTCACTTGTGTCACAAAACAAGCGCATTGCGTCAAACTAACAACTGCGGTTATAGGAACGAAGTCTTGTGAAGTCTGTCAACCACAACACGTTTTGCTTGAAGGCAATTGTAAGACGTGTGGAGAAAATTGTTTAACTTGTGATGCAAATGGGTGTCTCAATTGCACGGGTGCATTACTTCTGCGAAAACGTGTTTGTGTTGCACCACTTTCTGAGCGTTGTGAAATTGTTGATCCTAACACCAACCAATGTGTTTCATGTTCGTATGGGTATTTTCTTGATCGTGATGGTATTTGTGTGGTTAATAATTTCAAATGTGAATACCAAACAATAAGTGGATGTAAGAAGTGTACAAGTTTAATGGAAGAGCCTTATTATTGCCAAGTAAAAGATCCAGAATCCACTACAGAAACTTCAGGGGACATAAACTTGCCGAGTTCAACAAGTGATTTTCCAAAGGAGTACAACAGTTATAAAGAGACGTGTTATATAACAAAGAGCACTGGATGTGAAAGATGTAAAAATGGGTTCTATCTTGATGGAATATATTGTGTAAAATGTCCACAAAAGTGTCTTTCGTGTTATTCCCCATATGGTTGTACTGCGTGTGCACAAGGGAATTACTTGCAAAATGGTGAGTGTGTAACCACCGAAGATTTTGAAATAAAATGCTTAATATCATTACCTCTCAAAATTGGGTGTTCTGTTTGCAACAAAAAGTACTTTCGTGTGGGTATTTCTTGTCTTCCGTGTCCTTCTCATTGCAACGAGTGTAAATCAAACAAAACATGTGAAATCTGTGAAAACGAACATTTTCAGAGTGAGACAAGTCGTGAGTGTCGGCCATATTCAGAACTCACAAACTGTGTAACAAAAACACCAGAGGGTTGCACATTTTGTTCTCCTGGATTTTTTCTTCAATTTTCTGAGTGCCAGAAATGCACTGAAAATTGTCTTAGTTGCACAGATTCCTCGAATTATAGTTGTACTTTATGTGAAGAAAATTATGTAAAAAACACGGCAAGTTACAAGTTTTCATGTATCAAATACTCAACAATTGAACATTGTAAAGGCTCTTTCCACTCAGTATGTATCGGTTGTTATGGGTTTTATAAAGTAATGGGAGATGGACTTTCTTGTGAAAGACGTTCAATTTGGACAATCATTTTGGGTGTTATTCTCATTACGTTTTTTGTTATTGTTGTTGTGATTATTATCATGTTTTTTGTAGTGGTGCACATCTACAATGAGCGACGAATAACAAAATTCAACGCTGGAAAGATCGTCTTTAAAGTGTCGCATTCCAACTGTTTGCTCAATGTAAAAATAGGTGGGTCCTTATCGAGTAAGAACAAACTCACATTTAATTCCGTGATGCTCCCAGTGAACAAAGAGAGTGACGACGTCTTTGTTCTGGGCAACTTGAGTTGCAAAAGCCTTCAAATACAACTTACTGTCAAACAAGAGAAAGAGCCGCAGAAGTGTAATATTCTCGTTGACCCACAAATAGTCGTCTTAAAGAAAGGATTTGCCTGTGAGTTTAAAGTGAATGTCATTCCCATGTGTACTTGTAAATTACACGATAAAATTCTTGTCACAACATTCGACATTGAAAAGTCGCAAGTTAAAGAAGGACAAATCTTGTTTGACGCAGAAACAGAGTGGTCCACTAAACTCGACTTTGATGAAATCATTGAAGAACGGATAGTTGGTCGTGGCTCTTTTGGTGTAGTCTATCAAGGTCTCTACCGTTCGCAAAAGGTGGCGATAAAGAAATTGAAAGCCATTCACAGTGTAGATGATAATCTCGCCGAGTTTAAAAAGGAGGTTTCAATGCTTGAAAAACTAAACAACGAATTTATCATTAACTTCTATGGCGCAGTCTTTATACCGGGAAGAGTGTGTATTGTCACAGAATTTGCTAATCATGGCAGTTTGTTCGATTTGTTGAAACAAGATGAAAGAGACTTTACTCGGAAAATGCGTGGGAAAATACTGTATGACGCAGCACGGGGTTTGGAGTATTTACACCGTAACGACGTCTTGCACAGAGATGTCAAACCAGACAATATCTTAGTGGTGTCTCTCAACCCAGTGGATGATGTCAATGGAAAATTGACGGACTTTGGCAGCTCGCGAAATGTGAAGAACTTATGTGAAAACTTGTCACTGACAAAGTGCGTTGGTACCCCAAAATTCATGGCGCCAGAAATTTTGCAACGAACGGTTTATCAAAAGCCAGCAGATGTGTACGCGTTTGGAATTTCTGTTTTGGAGGTCTTTCAGCGAAAAGACCCATTTCCCGTCGAGCAGTTTGAGTACCCATGGGATATCGCAGAGTTCATCTGCTCAGGTAAAAGACCCGACATATTTGACGAGAATGAGAATGTGAGAAACGTTATAGAAGGGTGTTGGAAACAGAGTCCAACAGAAAGACTGAGTATTTCAGATGTTTGTATAAAATTACAATTGTTAATTTAATTTATTGTTTATTTATCATCAATTTGAACTATTTGTTTAGAATATAAACAATTGGTATGATTTACATTCGAATAATAATAGGAAACTAAATATACTAAGATACTCAATAGAAATGATTGTGAAACACCACTTTGGCCATTGCTTATTGTTTATTTTCCCCCTCGACAGACAGAGCGTATCTGATGTCCTCGCCCCACGACTCGATGGTTGCGAGGATGTCTGCAAATGTTGGACGTTCTTCTGGGTTTTGTTTCCAGCACTTAGTAGTGAGGTCCCAGTAGTTTTCTGGGATGCCCGTTGGTTTGTCGAGTCTGTTTCCTTCGATGACAAATTGTGGGATCATCCACGGCTGGTTGAATCGCTCATCGTTTTCGTATGCGTTCTTTTCGATGTAAGTTTCGTACAAGACAATGCCAAATGCGTACACGTCGACTGGATAGCTGTATTCGGATGAGTTCTGGAGACACTCTGGTGCCATGTATGTTGGTGTTCCAATGCCTTGCGACAGTGCTTTTGATTGCAAGTTTCGTTCGGAGATGTTTCTGCACGTCCCAAAGTCTGTCAGTTTTGCGCAGACTGGGGAATGTGGGTTGAGTGAGAAGACAAGGAGATTCTCGCCTTTGACATCTCTGTGCAAGATACTGTTTTGGTGCAGATAGTTCAGTGCAACAACCATGTCATCAAGCACTTTCACTTTCAGTTGGTAGTTCATTGGGTTCTTTCCCCAGATCTTGCTCAGTGACCCGTACTCTGCAAATTCAGTCACAATTGCAATCTCTCCCTCCGTGTAAACTGCTCCTATCAATTCAACAACGCAGTTCTGTCGCAGTTGTGTCATCATTGACACCTCGTGGTTGAATTCTTTTTCTTGTTCTTGTGTCAAGTTTCTTGCTTTCATCTTCTTGATAGCAACATCACGCCCTCGGTACGTCCCTCTAAAGACCATCCCGAATGCGCCTTCTCCAATTGGTGGCATAATTGGCTTCAACTCAGTGTGGTCGAGTTTGAGTGACAAGTCTGATTCAACGACTATTGTGAACTTTGCCGTCTCCTTGTTTTGGTCATCAATGTCCATTGCAGAAATGCCGATGTTGTCACTCACTGATGTCGTGCACAACATCTTAATCTTGAACGTGACTGGAATAGCTGTCGATGGCTTCAGTGTTGCGCTCTTTGGTTCTATTTCAAGGTCATACTTATGACTTGGTGTGTAGTGGAACTCAAAGTAGTATTGACTCTTCGACATGTTAGCAAGGTTGATCGTTTCCGTGTATTCCGTGTCAACAACAGCCTTTGCTTTCTGCAACCCAAATGTCAATTCCCATTTGTCAGTCTTCAACGGGAACTTTTCATTGTCTGCACCAAGAAGAAGAAGTTCCAAGTCACTGCCGACGTGGAACGGCTTGATTGCTGCTGTCTCGGCTTTGACACTCTTTGCGCGTCGCCACCAAATTATTGCGATGATTGCAATGAATATCAGCACAATGATAATAACACCAACAACAACAAGTGGGATGATCAACGCCCAGTTTGTCTTCGAGCATGAAATTCCTCCAGCATCAATATTATACCCCTCAACACATGTAACACATTTCTCACCACTGCACGCAGCACAATTCTTTAATTCGCTGCACGCCTTGCATTTCCCGTCATTCACATATTCTTGTTCAGTTCGACACCCGGTACATACAGGGTACCCAACTGTGAGATCGTTACTGTCAGTCTGCTTGAACGTACAAGTCGAACACTCTTCAGGACAAACAGTGCAATTGTATTGTGAAGGATCATCTCGGTTAATATAATACCCATCTTTACACGTTTCACACCCATTCATACCTGATTTACAAGTCATGTTGATTTCAGTTTGGAGTTTACACAAATGTTCTACATTTTCTTTTGACTGTTCTTCTTTTGACATATAATAATCGGTATGGCACGTTAAACAGGATGTGCTCACTTTACATGTTCCACACGATTTGTCACATTTTATGCAATCTTGGCTGTCAACCCCTTGAATGAAGAACCCATTCTTACACTCTGTGCAATACCCCATTTCAGTTTTCACACAAGTCTCGCCCATTGGGGTGCATTCATAGTACTCAACATCAGTTACACCATCTTCAGCCTTCTCTGTCGTTTTATTTAAGACGTAATCAGAAGTACACGCAGTACAGTGGTAATCCTTCCCTTCACACAGTTTACAGTGATTTGTACAATCAACACAAACTTGTGACTCGGGAGGTACAAAATATCCCGTTGTGTTCTTCCCTTCGTCTGTCGTCAAATCGTTAATACACTCTTTGCATCCGGCTTGATCAACCAAATTACAGTGTGGATCTTTAAGTTTACAATTCTTAGTTCCCGACTCAAAATAATAATCTTTTTGACACGTCAAACAATGTGTTGGAATTTCAATGCAGGTGTTACACGTTTTATCACACTGTGAACACACAAACGAAGAGTCCAAGAAATACTCATCGTCGCATTCTAAGCACCCATAAGTCGTGCTTCCCTTTTTACAATGAATTTCTGTTGCAGATTTACACTCACCTTTAACCCAGACGTACGTATCGGAGCAAACACTGCAATAACTTTTTCCGTCATCCTTTTTATAACACACATCACAGTTGTCATTACACTTCTCACAGTTACCACCTTGGAGCCTATACCCAGTCTTACACAATTCACAGTGGTCCCCCTTGGTACCTTCAAGTGTGCAATGTGAAAGTTCCTCACATTTGTCTGGTGTTTCTTTTGATGGAGTGATTTGTTTATTAAGTAGTGTCCCATTGGCGCACTGATAGCAATTAAATTCCTCAGTACATAACTGGCAATTAGTAAAGCAAGACTTACAGCTTTTAGACTGTGTGTTAAAGTACTGTCCGTCATTGCATCTTCCACACGCAACATCATTTTCAGATAGTGTACAGTCAATGCACGTCTTCTCATCGATTGAAAGGTAATATTGTGTTTCAGCAACTTTGGCGCATTGGTAGCAGTGGGTACTGTTACAATAATTACAATTTGCAATACCACAACCAACACATTCGTTACCAGTTAAGTAGAAACCGGTTTCACATTTTATGCATGCGTTGTTCTCGAAACTGGCACAATTTTTGACCGTCGAAGATGCAACACAAGCCATTGTTGGAATTCCCGTTTCTTCGTTGTCTGTCAATTGGAGGTAATAATTTGATTCGCATTCAACACAGTGGTTTGGCGAAAGTAGTTTGACGCAGTGGTTTTGTGATGCGCTCAAATAGATAAAAAGCAAAATAAGAAGTGGGAACACCATTTGAAGTGTGCTTTGTGTTAAAAAGAAGTGGTCAATTTTTATAATTGAAAAAAATCATGGAGATTGGAAGAGTATTCTTTTCATTATTGATTGGTTTGTTTGATTCAAATAATTGTTAAAAAACTTCAAAAAGATTTTTTAGTATTTTATTTGGAATTATTATCTAAGTTTTAAATAATATTATAATTTAACTCAAGTACTAAAGAAGGCTTATATTTTTGTTTATTTTTCGTATAGTCATGGAAAAATTGGTGCAAGAAAAAGATGGGGGCAGGCTTTTCCACCCTCACATCTTCTAAATATTAAATTTATTTACTATTTTTAATAACATTTTAATTATAATTATAGTAAATGGGCGTTTAGGATAATATTTGGTCTGGTTCCCGTATTCAAGAAATGCTGAAAATTCACCTCGAGTCAGTGGAAACCGAGTAAGACGGAGCATTGAAAAGAAGGCTCTGAAGACACACTCAAACAGTCTGTTTGTGCACCGTTTCACCCACTTTCCAAGTCCTCCCTTGGCGCGGATCCCCCCTGACCCCCCCGCAAGCGGGGGGAACCACATCCGCGTCCACACAATACGGACAAGGAAAGTGGGTGACATGGGGACGCACAAACAGTAGCTGAAAAGTGGACTTCCTTCAAAAAACACTCGCGGCAAATATTTTTTTTTGGTAAAGGTGGTGGTCAATGTAGGTCCCAATCGCCAAATCCTCTCCAAAATATTTAAATCTTAAAATAGAACACCAATAAACATACCAAAAACATTTTCTTTTTTATTATGTTTTTCTTTTTCCAAATCAAAACGAACATAAAAACAATAAAATCGTTTAATTTCAAGATCTTCATTTTTCTTGTCGTTTCCAACAAACACACTGGAAACCATGCCAAAATGACGATCTCGAGTTGAGACCATTCAGTCGGCGAAAGTTGGCTGGTTTCCACTTGCTGTGGTGGAAATGTAGAGGGAGTTCCGGCGGGTTGTTGCGGCAAGGAGCCGCCTCTGGTTTGTTAATATATATTTTCAATTTAATTCAATTTAATACAAAGAACAAACATCTTATTTTTTTAGTTCAAAGATAATGCTTAAGTTCTCTAAAATCGAGGATTAAATTTTTTGCTGTTATATTGGCTTAGTTATTCACTCTTTTTTCCTAATGATAAGTCTGTATTATTTCAAGGGTTTTTATAGAATAATTGATAGCTTTGTATAATATGTTATAATATTTTTATTTATCATTCAAGTGATACACCAACATATTTTATCGGTTTTAAAAACAACTCCAATTCATTTTACTGCCAGTTTTATTCATTTTTATTATTATTTGTTTCCGTTATATTTTTTAATAATAAACAGTTAAAGGATCAAAAATCTATTAGAAACTATATTTTAACTATAAAAATACCTATAAATGAAAACTATTAGTTGTTTAATTTAAAAGCTCTGATTCTTTTTGTTTTGTAATAAGACCAAGTAAAAAATTCAAAAAAAAGTTTTAAACATGGTGAGCTTTATTAAAAAGCTCATAAACGCCTTTTGGCAACAACATCAAAATGTGTAATTACAATCCCAAGTGCCCTTTAAAATCTTGGCTCTAGTAATCATAATAAAGGCCGAACACTTGAATTATAATTTAGTTTGATAAATGTGTTTGTGTTCTTTTTTTATTGTTGTATTTTATTAAAAAATGAAATCGTCTTATTTGTTAGTTTAATGCTATAAACTGAACGAAGCATTGTTATTGTTAGCTTCTTTAGATTATTTTATTACTAATAAGCCATGCCTAGGAAAAATTTGCTTTTCAAGAAAAAAAGACTGAAGAGGCTGTTTTTTGCGGCAAAAAAATCGTCTTTGGTAAAACTATTTTTAAAAATACGCAAATAAACGGGACATTATGTTATATTGAATTGTGATTCCAGAAGATTCAATAATTTTTATCAAATTGTTTTTGATAAATTAACAATTTTTAAATACTTATCGTTTTTTTATGTTTTATTAGCACAATAAAAAAACATAATATAAATTAACGAAAAGATAAATTTAACATATGAATTTTATTAACATATTTTCTTGTATAATTAACACACCAAAAAAATAAAATTAATTAACGAAAAAAAATAATTAACAATTTAAAAATATTTATCGATTTTTCTTGTCAAATTAACACAGCGAAAATTTACAAATAATTTAACGCAATCAAAATTAACATCTTACTATTATTAACGTTTTTACATGTTAAATTAACAAACTAAAATGTAAATAATTAACGATAATTCAATAAAAATGTGTATTTCAAATAAATTACATTGTACAATATCTGTTTGTAATTACAAACATTTATTTGTAATTATTAATTAAGTATTTTATTTGTTACAGAATCGACGGAGAAAAATATTTAAAACCACAATTAAACAAACATTATTTGATAATTAAACAATACCGTTTCAATGAAATTATATTTCAAAGAATGACTTGTAATAAATATTTAATTTATTATAAATTATAAACCAAAAATAAGATGATATTATGTGCATGATCAACATATAAGACTGTGGTCATTTTTCAACATGGAATAAAAATTGCACCACAATTAACATCATTTTTAATAATGATAAATCATTTGTGTTAGAAAAAAAAACTATTATTTTAAATTTTTTAATATATATCTTTCAACCTGTTTATAATTTTGTTGATACTTATTAATGTACAACATAATTGTTTTAGTATTGTATATTTAATTCTTGATTTTATTGTTAAAATAAATGTATTGTAAAATGTATAGCATTGGTCATTCAACGTGCCAAACAATGACAATATAAGCAGTTGATTTGTCTGGAAAAAATACATTTTAACAAACAGTTAGTTAATAATGACATCAATAAAAAACATGATTATAACTTCTTTTGTATTTTAATGAACAACAAAAACACCAAATTTAAAAATATAAAACATTGTAACGGTCCATTTGTTTCAAATCATAAACCAATAGAAGTTTACGCTTTACTTTGTTTAAACATCAAAAACACAACAATAAATATAATTTTCAATATATGGACATTAATATTTAAATAAGGTACAACAAATTGTGTATTAATATATCATTTAAAACAGCTTATATTTTACATATATATACGTTGAAATCAATAAACACGAAATTGTGACTTTTATGTATTTGAACTTGTTTTTTGTAAAAACGTTTTGACATTTAAACAAAAGTGGGTAAATTCATTACTGATTCAACTTCAATACATATTTGTTGTTTAAAAACATTTCGTTGACAACATATCAACAACAATATTGAAATATGTTAACAAAAAATACACAACTATAGTTTTTAATTCATGTTAATTCTTAGACTACTAAAAAAAGATTTTAATGTCTTATGTACACATTTAAGTGAGTCGCAAGTAAAATCCTAAAATTTGTGTAAACTGTGATACTTTTTTCATTTTACTGTTATCTTTTAAACTTTTAGTTTTATGTTTAATTTTTACACATCGTAAAGTTACCACTTTTAATATTTTAGGCTGTTTTTAAATCACCAGTGTAGCAATAAACGGTAAAACCCAATACACCAACTGTTGTTATCAAATCAATGAAAATTACTAATTAATAAATGCTTCCATTTTAATTAATCATAATAGTTGTAGTATTATCAAAATATACATGTTCACTTTTTGTGTTGTAATATAAATAATAATTAAACGATAGTTAAGAAATATTTGGATTAATATCTCGCTTGCACATCATTTTCAACAAAAAATTGTTGATATGAAAATTGAGTATATGGAAGTGATTGCACAATGAAATTATTAACAATTGTTTATATTTGATTTTTCTTTGTATTAACAAATCGTCAATGCAAACACATATAATTACAATTAATAATTGAAAATAACAATGTCATTAACAGTCATTATTCATTCAAAAATTTAATTATACAATTACACTTGTATTAACAAATATGTATATCAATTATTAATATATTTAAACTTTTAACTGTGTTGATAACTTTGTTATGTGAATAATTGGAAACACCTTTTTACTAAAAGTTAATAAATGTATAATTATTCAAAATAAATTTTAATGATATCAAAATATAAATCAAAAAATAACAGAAATGATCAATTGAAATATTTAATTTCGATTTGATTATAACTGTATATATTGTTAATCGTATGTGTATTAACGTAAAAGAGACTATTTTAAAATTATATAAATATAAAACTTGCAAACTTTTTTGTTGTTAAAAGTTTAGCATCAAACATAAACTGTTAGATTCGAATATAATTAATATGATTTATTTTTACAACAAATTTTTATTATTGAAAATGTGAATATCTGTATTAATAAGTATATTATGTAAACCGAATACCTCGACTACTAATAGGTTATAAACCATTATTGATTAAATATTAATTATTGGATTTTAAAAAACAATAAAAAAAATATAAATGATGTGATTGTTTTGAAATTGATAATTGATATCTGATGAGCCTGTTTAATTTATTAATAAATCATTTTTTTGTTTATCAACTACAATAACTTTTAGATGTATGAAATTTTATAAAACTTGTAACAACTCGAATGTTTTAAAAAGAAAGAAAAAAATGCAACCAACAGTCAAGAAATTACTTTTATTTTGTTATTTAATTTTATATATTACAACAACACTTGGAATTCAATTATGTTACGTCAAACTATTTAATCGGGCTTACATGATACCGAGAATTTACATTTCTGAACTGTCTCATCTTTTCTTTTTTGGTTTCATGTTATTGGTAATTCAGTTGGTGTTTATTTTCAGATTATGCCTTTTTGTAACGATATATTTAATACAATGTTTTTAATATATTTTTGATAGATATTCCATTATATTACTTGTAAAAGAGGATCAATGTTATTGTTTGCATCCACAATAGTCATTAAGATTATAAGTTTAAAAAATCACATATCAATTACAAGTGTATGTTTCAAGAAATTACATTAACAGTTTTTA